GTAGATCCTTGTAGGTTTTTCTGTGTCTTTTTTTTGTAGTAACCAAGTCAGCAGCAGCATTAGCATTTAGCATTTAACCAATACAGCTCTTGCAACACTGGATTTGGTCATGGGCTGTCTTGTAACAATATGCTTACATTTCTTTCCCAAGATCATGTCTCACTGAATGTTACAGTGAAAAACACCATTTGTCAGAAGTGGGATTCGAACCCACGCCTCCAGAGGAGACTGCGACCTGAACGCAGCGCCTTAGACCGCTCGGCCATCCTGACTGAAAAAGACAATTCTACAGTACATTTTGCCTGAAAAATAAAACTCAGAAATGTTCATTAATTAACTGACCCATTAATGAACAGCCCCTCGCACTTCCCCGGGTTGTTTTACCTCATTCCACAGGTAAAGCAAACTGGAATATCCCCTACTTTGATTCAAAAGAAGAACTCTTTAAGAGGGTGCTGTGGCTTAGTTGGTTAAAGTGCCTGTCTAGTAAACAGGAGATCCTGGGTTCAAATCCCAGCAGTGCCTTATTGTAGCACAGATATGCTCTCTCTTTGGCCTACTTGAATAAGTCATAAAGGTTCCAGATACCCTAAGGAGTTAATTGAAACCAAAAAGTTGTCAAGCCTCGGTATTGCAACAATGTTTGCAAAAGCTTCTTGCGACACAATATAGTGTCCACTTTGGCACTAAAGAGTTAAGCAATTTAACATTTTCGATAATGGATGCTTAGTCTTGTGAACGTGTTTCCTTCTGAATAAGGATGGAAAGGACAAGGACCCTACTGACCCAAAGCTTTTACAATTAGCAGAGGATGGTTTCGATCCATCGACCTCTGGGTTATGGGCCCAGCACGCTTCCGCTGCGCCACTCTGCTCACCTCTTTGAATTCAACGCTGTCAAAAATGTGGATGACGGATTGTTTGAACATTTGGAACCTGGGAGAACCGACATTTAAGCAGCTTACATGTTGGATTTTGGAACCAGGATAGCTAACAGGTGTGTTTTAACCATGTGCTGTACGTGTCATTTTAGTGTGTTAGCAACTGAAAACAACTGTAATCATTGTAAAAGATGACTTTTTTTCACAATATTAACAATATTATGTTACTGTTCCAAACCCAGGTTATTTGTGTTGTGTTGCTTTACTCGATATGACTATTTTTCGACTGTTGCCGGGCAGAATAGAGGTGAAAAAAAATGAACTGGTTTGGGCTAAATAAAAACAAAGTCCGCATATACTTGTTTTTCTCGGTCTATTTAGAGTCACCTTGTAGATCCTTGTAGGTTTTTCTGTGTCTTTTTTTTGTAGTAACCAAGTCAGCAGCAGCATTTAGCATTTAGCATTTAACCAATACAGCTCTTGCAACACTGGATTTGGTCATGGGCTGTCTTGTAACAATATGCTTACATTTCTTTCCCAAGATCATGTCTCACTGAATGTTACAGTGAAAAACACCATTTGTCAGAAGTGGGATTCGAACCCACGCCTCCAGAGGAGACTGCGACCTGAACGCAGCGCCTTAGACCGCTCGGCCATCCTGACTGAAAAAGGCAATTCTCCAGTACATTTTGCCTGAAAAATAAAACTCAGAAATGTTCATTAATTAACTGACCCATTAATGAACAGCCCCTCGCACTTCCCCGGGTTGTTTTACCTCCTTCCACAGGTAAAGCAAACTGGAATATCCCCTACTTTGATTCAAAAGAAGAACTATTTAAGAGGGTGCTGTGGCTTAGTTGGTTAAAGTGCCTGTCTAGTAAACAGGAGATCCTGGGTTCAAATCCCAGCAGTGCCTTATTGTAGCACAGATATGCTCTCTCTTTGGCCTACTTGAATAAGTCATAAAGGTTCCAGATACCCAAAGGAGTTAATTGAAACCAAAAAGTTGTCAAGCCTCGGTATTGCAACAATGTTTGCAAAAGCTTCTTGCGACACAATTTCGTGTCCACTTTGGCACTAAAGAGTTAAGCAATTTAACATTTTCGATAATGGATGCTTAGTCTTGTGAACGTGTTTCCTTCTGAATAAGGATGGAAAGGACAAGGACCCTACTGACCCAAAGCTTTTACAATTAGCAGAGGATGGTTTCGATCCATCGACCTCTGGGTTATGGGCCCAGCACGCTTCCGCTGCGCCACTCTGCTCACCTCTTTGAATCCAACGCTGTCAAAAATGTGGATGACGGATTGTTTGAACATTTGGAACCTGGGAGAACCGACATTTCAGCAGCTTACATGTTGGATTTTGGAACCAGGATAGCTAACAGGTGTGTTTTAACCATGTGCTGTACGTGTCATTTTAGTGTGTTAGCAACTGAAAACAACTGTAATCATTGTAAAAGATGACTTTTTTTCACAATATTAACAATATTATGTTACTGTTCCAAACCCAGGTTATTTGTATTTTGTGTTGCTTTACTCGATATGACTATTTTTCGACTGTTGCCGGGCAGAATAGAGGTGAAAAAAAATGAACTGGTTTGGGCTAAATAAAAACAAAGTCCGCATATACTTGTTTTTCTCGGTCTATTTAGAGTCACCTTGTAGATCCTTGTAGGTTTTTCTGTGTCTTTTTTTTGTAGTAACCAAGTCAGCAGCAGCATTTAGCATTTAGCATTTAACCAATACAGCTCTTGCAACACTGGATTTGGTCATGGGCTGTCTTGTAACAATATGCTTACATTTCTTTCCCAAGATCATGTCTCACTGAATGTTACAGTGAAAAACACCATTTGTCAGAAGTGGGATTCGAACCCACGCCTCCAGAGGAGACTGCGACCTGAACGCAGCGCCTTAGACCGCTCGGCCATCCTGACTGAAAAAGACAATTCTACAGTACATTTTGCCTGAAAAATAAAACTCAGAAATGTTCATTAATTAACTGACCCATTAATGAACAGCCCCTCGCACTTCCCCGGGTTGTTTTACCTCCTTCCACAGGTAAAGCAAACTGGAATATCCCCTACTTTGATTCAAAAGAAGAACTATTTAAGAGGGTGCTGTGGCTTAGTTGGTTAAAGTGCCTGTCTAGTAAACAGGAGATCCTGGGTTCAAATCCCAGCAGTGCCTTATTGTAGCACAGACATGCTCTCTCTTTGGCCTACTTGAATAAGTCATAAAGGTTCCAGATACCCAAAGGAGTTAATTGAAACCAAAAAGTTGTCAAGCCTCGGTATTGCAACAATGTTTGCAAAAGCTTCTTGCGACACAATATAGTGTCCACTTTGGCACTAAAGAGTTAAGCAATTTAACATTTTCGATAATGGATGCTTAGTCTTGTGAACGTGTTTCCTTCTGAATAAGGATGGAAAGGACAAGGACCCTACTGACCCAAAGCTTTTACAATTAGCAGAGGATGGTTTCGATCCATCGACCTCTGGGTTATGGGCCCAGCACGCTTCCGCTGCGCCATTCTGCTCACCTCTTTGAATCCAACGCTGTCAAAAATGTGGATGACGGATTGTTTGAACATTTGGAACCTGGGAGAACCGACATTTCAGCAGCTTACATGTTGGATTTTGGAACCAGGATAGCTAACAGGTGTGTTTTAACCATGTGCTGTACGTGTCATTTTAGTGTGTTAGCAACTGAAAAAAAACTGTAATCATTGAAAAAGATGACTTTTTTTCACAATATTAACAATATTATGTTACTGTTCCAAACCCAGGTTACTTGTGTTGTGTTGCTTTACTCGATATGACTATTTTTCGACTGTTGCCGGGCAGAATAGAGGTGAAAAAAAATGAACTGGTTTGGGCTAAATAAAAACTAAGTCCGCATATACTTGTTTTTCTCCGTCTATTTAGAGTCACCTTGTAGATCCTTGTAGGTTTTTCTGTGTCTTTTTTTTGTAGTAACCAGGTCAGCAGCAGCATTTAGCATTTAGCATTTAACCAATACAGCTCTTGCAACACTGGATTTGGTCATGGGCTGTCTTGTAACAATATGCTTACATTTCTTTCCCAAGATCATGTCTCACTGAATGTTACAGTGAAAAACACCATTTGTCAGAAGTGGGATTCGAACCCACGCCTCCAGAGGAGGCTGCGACCTGAACGCAGCGCCTATGCCGCGTTTCCACTACACAGCCTCGCTCGGCCCCGCTCGGCCTCCTTTGGCCGCGCCCGGCCTCGTTAGGACCAGCTCACTTTGTGGCGCGTTTCCATTACAGTTTAGGAACCGGGTCAGTATCTATAGTAACAGTGTAGGCGGAGCGACGCTGCTTAAAACTGCCGTGACGTCATCTTCAATGCGACACAACAATGGAGATGTGAAAGCAATCGTTTGCTTGTTTTTTGCTGTGTGGTTTATTATCACAAGAAATAGACAAGAGTTGTTTCGAAAGAGGCGACGTATAGCAAGACGAGGTATAGAAGAAGCTGACGCGAGAGTTCGGGCAGTCCTCCTACGCCGCAGAGACTACAGGACGACTCGAATCACTACTAACTACAATGCTACTTGGTAAGCTAACGTTCGCTAACTAGCAATGTGTTTAGGCTCACTCTCCCTATACGACCAAAGTATTTCAAGTATTTAATTAATTGTAGCTACCACTTTTACGTATTAAAATATGTATGCTTTTGTTTGTGTATTTCAGAAGTTACCGACCGAGCTTCCGAGTGGTGGAATGTGATTGTTCCATCTTTCACACACTCAGTGGGTGGAGAACTTCAGGATGCCTGAGGAAAACCTACGTGTAATACCTAAATATTCATTGTATTGTATTGAACATAAATACATCTTTTCTTTTTCACATACATGTGTTTGTCAAATTATTTAAACCAAAAAAATGTTATCAGAATTGACTATTTAGTAAATATTTGAATTTCAAGCACCAGTACTGCCCCCATAATAATAATCTAATAAATTAAGCAAATATCAAAGCAAACTATAAACATAAATACAAAAGTGTAAAACACAACATCACTTTTTGTTGTACGTTGAAATGTTCGTTAAAACATGATGAAAAATGTCATTGCCCCTAAGCTAATTATGTATTCAAAAAGTTCAGCCAAATGCATTGTGGTTGTGGATGCTCGTAGTGACGGCAGCTGTTGAAACACTAACAGAACAGGTAGGTTTCCTAATAAAAGCCTTCAATGTTAGTTTAATCAATTTATACTCAAATGTGTGTCATAATATCCCCAACCATTTACTACGAGCAACCCCGAACGCATTGGACTGAAAGTCACTATTTAACACCTCCTCAAACCGAAACTTTTTGCTAACATTTAGCTGTTTGCTAACAGTTAGCAAGCTAACGTTTTCATCCACTGTAAACCACGAGGCGCGGAGGGTTGTGTGCTTCCTCCGTGCTCTCCTCGCTGCCGCTGAATTAAGAGACCCGCTGCTAAAGTTTAACACTCTCCTTCACCCAGGTTTCAACCTCTTTATACGGTTTCAACGAGCGTGAGGCCACACACACGGGACGGAGCAGAGCAGAGACAGGTAATGTTAAATTGAATATAACGATGTCAGTTATAAACAGGCTCGGTAGTGAACGCTTGTCCATTTGTTGTCCATTAATTCATCATTTACCATACTAACATTTCCCCAATGGATGTTTAAGAATGTATTAAGCAGTAGCTTACATTACATTTTAAATATAGGATTTGTTCAGCTTTAGTCTGAAGGGGATAAACCACACTGTAAACCACGAGGCGCGGAGGGTTGTGTGTGTTTGTGTTCCCTTCCTCGCTGCTGAATTACGAGAGCCGCTGCTAACGTTTAACACTCTTCTTCACCCAGGTTTCAACCTCTGTATACGGGTTCAACGAGCGCGAGGCCACACACACACACACATGGGGCAGAGCAGAGAAAGGTAATGTTAAAGTGAATATAATGATGTACGAGGGAACGAGGGATGCAAACTTGTCACCTTTCGGCGAAATTCGCCGTTTTGAATCCAAAATAGGTAGTTTGTGTTGTTCATGTAGATCTGCAATACAAATATTTTTGGGGTATGGGGGGGGGGGGGGAGTAATCTGCGGCTGCGAGCATGGTGTTATTTTTGTATATATTATAATGGGCACGAGCTGTGTGCTCGAGTCTTCCTGCCTGTCGGCCGAACTCTGCTGCTCCCCGATGAGGGTCTAACTTCAGCAGCTTGAGTAAAAGTAGAAGTACCAGAGTGTAGGAATACTCTGTTACAGTAAAAGTCCTGCATTCAAAATGTTCCTCAAGTGAAAGTAGAAAAGTATTATCATCAAAATATAGTTAAAGTAGCGACAGTAAAAGTAGTCATTGTGCAGATTGGTCCATTTCAGAATAATATATATGATATGTTTTATAATGATTGATCATTAAAGTGTTCTCAAAGCTGGTAAAGGTGCAGCTAGTTTGAATGACTTTGTATACTGCAGGGTAGCTTGTGGATTTACTCCAGGTGGAACTAAAGTCTGATTTAACACTTGATTATATTTCACATCATTCATCCACATCTGTGAAGTAACTAAAGGCATTCAATACATGTAGTGGAGTAGAAGTACACAGTAGCAAAACATTTACATACTTAAGTAAAGTACAAGTATCTCAAAATTGTAAGTATAGTACTTGTTGAGTTTATGGACTTAGTTAACTGACTGCTACACAATTAAAGTAAATGCTTTTATATATTTCTATTAGATGTGACTCTTTGGCGTTTCTGTTATTAACTGCTTTAGTTGTTCTGACTGCTAAAATCATCTGTTATTCCTCATTTTAAAGCCGATATTCGGGGGGCTCGGATCCTTGTCACCTTTTTCATACCTGATGAGTTTGCATCCCTGGTTATAAACAGGCTCGGTAGTGAACGCTTGTCCATTTCTTGTCCATGAATTCATTTACCATACTAACAATATCTCAATGGATGTTTAAGAAGTTATTAGGCAGTAGCTTACATTACATTTTAAATATAGGATTTGTTCAGCTTTAGTCTGAAGGAGACAAACCTCTCTCTCTCTCTCTCTCTCTCTCTCTCTCTCTCTCTCTCTCTCTCTCTCTCTCTCTTTCTCTCTCTCTCTCTCTCTTTCTGAAAGAAAGAAATAATCTATCATACTCGATAAATAATAAACTAAATGTATTAACTGTGAATATTTTTTATTTATCCAACATTAAAAGACCCAAGCCAGCCAAAGTCAACTTTCTACCCAACCTTCCCCAAGGAGAGGATCCCTCAAGTCTTGAGCACTTCAGGCAGACAATTGTTGAGGAAGACTGAGATGGACCTACCCCTCATTAAAAAGATGATGCAGACCACATTTGCACTGCGGCGACAGACCATAGTGAGGACGTGCCCGCCAGTGAACGAGCTCATGGACCTCTGGCCTGCTCTCAAAATGGAGTCTGAGGTAATATGGATTAGCTCTCTTTTTCCTGTTTTCTTCTTTATTGATAACATATGGCACATTCTGTGACTCTTATAGTGGCTATTTGCTGTATATAGGAGTGTAATAGATCTTCAAAGTTCCAGCTCCTTCCCTGTGGTGTAATGTAATGCAAGGAAAAGAACAGTCCAGCTGAAGTTCTCGTTCTTGCCACAGGGAAGGAACTGACTGGTCAAACTTGGAGGATCTATTACATTTGTAAGGAGGATACCACTTTAACCTAGTTTGATTTATTTTGAACTGACTAATTGACATTGCTGTATTGTCCTACTGCTCTGTTTTTTAAATAGGTGTATGCAGAGTTCCAACGGATTACCAACCAGAATCTGCCGAACACGTTCTACGCTGCTTTTGACCGCCATCTTCCTCGACTGATGGTCATATTTAGACAGAAGGCGTCCAAAACTGGGAAGACAGCTGAGGCTTTGGCTGAAATTTTCAAAATCCACGCTGAACAGGTAAAGAGATTATTTTACAATTCAAAGGTTGAACATCTAACGTTGATAGTCGACAGATTAAAAAAATATCTTTTGAATTTTACAATTAGCCCACTTTGTTTTTGCTATTGGTCTGATTGCATTAAAGATGTGAACAGGTTATCTGTGGATATATGTTCTGATTGGATTGTTGGATTGACAGGTTTGTTCAGTAAACTTCACAGTCAACAGTTTGTACGCTTATATTTTTATCGTTATAGGAATTACATGACATCAACACCAGGCGTACCACCGTTATCCATGCCCTTCCTGTGTATCTGCAAGAGGACACCTCTGGATTTTTCCGAACCTGCACAGTGAGTCTCCTTAATTAATTAACAGTACCACTCTATATTAAGTGAAGAGTTCATTAAAATACAAATATTTGTTGGCACTTATCCTGGTTCTGTCTATCCATCCATATAGTTTGTGTGATTTGCAGAGGTTTTGGTCTGTTTTCCTTCACCCAAATACAAATGAACTGAATCTGTTTTTTAGTTTGAAGCGATACTGAAGTTAAGTAAAACATTTATTGGATATGTTTTATCTCCTGGCACTTGGGTTCACTGGTCGCTCGTCTGATTATCACCTGTTTTTCACCTTTAAATGTGTAGTCTGTTGACAAAACAACTCTCTAAAACATAGTTCTAACTAAAATATGAACAACTTAGAAAACATATCTCCAAGAGTTGCAGTCAAAAGATATTGCCACACAGAAAATCAAGATTTGCCTGTGGCGCAGTGGATAGAGCATTGGTGTTCGGATCAAGGGAGCACAGGTTCAAACCCCACTGCAGTCAGCATGTCGTTGTGTCCCTGGGCAAGACACTTCACCCCAAATTGCTCCTGTGGGGATTGCCCACAGTATTGAGTATGTAAGTCGCTTTGGATAAAAGCGTCTAACAAGTAACATGTAATGTAATGTAATGCAGCTTTAGTATCTGGTTCCGGCCATTTGTTTAAGAAATTAAAACAGTCTAATCCCTTAAGCCAGTGGTTCTCAACCTGTACCACTGGTGGTACGCGGAGGAATCTGACATATAACAAGTAACATGTAATGTAATGTAATGTAATGCATGACCAACACCCAGTTTGTGATTATTATCTCTCTTTCATTAATTTAGGAAGAGTCCGAACCAGAGCTTGGAGGTGTTGCAGTGGCCCTCCTTACTGTCATCAGTGACAATGGCACAAGTCAAGTGCAATATCAGCCTGTGACCATCTCTGTCGTCATCGAAAATGACATTGTGGTCAGCCTCCCCAGACTTGCAGATGCATTCCTGGTAATGTTTGGACTAATTTATGCACTACACCTCAGCTATCCCAAAGGACTGACAAACACTTTCGAGTTCACTCAGAAGATTTTACTTGGTCTGGAAGATCGTAAATTGTCGCCCAAGTTGCAGACCCTCAAGAATGACTTGATGATGCATGTGTAGAAATCCATCTGAAAAACAGGTGTGGAGTGCGGCATTTTAAGGCATTTTCCCTCTACTTCAAAGTGATTTCCTTCTAAAAAAAAAAATGCCTTAAAAAAGTTGCTATTTCTGATAAACCGGCATTAATAATGTGAATGTGTGTTTATGCGTTTGTTTGTTGTTGTTGCTGCACTTTAACTCATCCAGGTGAAGATTTGATACTTGTTAATGTAATTCATTTACATTTTAGAGTTTTACAGTTAAAGGGTTCAGACTGTCATTGTGATTTGAAGTTGTTGCCCTGTTGCCATGTTGCCCTATTCAGGTTTTAACCAAAATGTGCCAGAAGTACAATTGCCTTTGCATTTTTTTTATTTTTTTTTATGATTACTTATTTTACTGTCTTGTAAATGTTAACAGGACAGCATGTTAAATAGGAGGGCTAGAAAATAAGACATTTACTAAAGCTGTTCAAGTTAGTCGCACTCGATTTAATTTAGGCAATCAGTTGCCTCAATGTTTTTAAGTTTTAAGTTATGTGATTTTGAGTTGACTAAGTCAATGTGTTTGGTTTGGTTGAAATAATAAATATTGAGGTCTGTTAACCCAAAAAAAAAGACTTTGAGTACTTTTTTTTAAAGTTCTGGTAACTTAATCCATTAGTAGAGGTGCATTCAAATGTTTAAGTCACGGTACCTGAACATATTAAAGTTGAATTAATAATAAATATTGAGTTCTGTTTACCCAAAAAAGACTGTTTGAGTACTTGTTTTTTTAAGTTCTGGTAACTTAATCCATTAGTAGAGGTGAATTCAAATGTTTAAGTCACAGTACCTGAATATATTTGAGTTGACTTAATAAGCCATTTTTAATTTGACTGTAATCAATAGGTACATATAGCATTTAATCCAATCATTTAAGTTCTTGAAAATTGTAAATTTTGAGTTCATTAACTTAAAATACTTAAGGCAATCAGTTGCCCTAATTTTTTTGAGTTAAGTTTACTTATTGGGGCTTACAGTGTAATTGTAAAAGGTTTGGGTCAGTAGGGTCCTTGTCCTTTCCATCCTTATTCAGAAGGAAACAAGTTTACAAGACAAAGCATCCATTATCGAAAATGTTAAATTGCTTAACTCTTTAGTGCCAAAGTGGACACTATATTGTGTCGCAAGAAGCTTTTGCAAACATTGTTGCAATACCGAGGCTTGACAACTTTTTGGTTTCAATTAACTCCTTTGGGTATCTGGAACCTTTATGACTTATTCAAGTAGGCCAAAGAGAGAGCATATCTGTGCTACAATAAGGCACTGCTGGGATTTGAACCCAGGATCTCCTGTTTACTAGACAGGCGCTTTAACCAACTAAGCCACAGCACCCTTTTAAATAGTTCTTCTTTTGAATCAAAGTAGGGGATATTCCAGTTTGCTTTACCTGTGGAAGGAGGTAAAACAACCCGGGGAAGTGCGAGGGGCTGTTCATTAATGGGTCAGTTAATTAATGAACATTTCTGAGTTTTATTTTTCAGGCAAAATGTACTGTAGAATTGTCTTTTTCAGTCAGGATGGCCGAGGCGCTGCGTTCAGGTCGCAGTCTCCTCTGGAGGCGTTGGTTCGAATCCCACTTCTGACAAATGGTGTTTTTCACTGTAACATTCAGTGAGACATGATCTTGGGAAAGAAATGTAAGCATATTGTTACAAGACAGCCCATGACCAAATCCAGTGTTGCAAGAGCTGTATTGGTTAAATGCTAAATGCTAAATGCTGCTGCTGACTTGGTTACTACAAAAAAAAGACACAGAAAAACCTACAAGGATCGACAAGGTGACTCTAAATAGGCCGAGAAAAACAAGTACATGCGGACTTTGTTTTTATTTAGCCCAAACCAGTTCATTTTTTTTCACCTCTATTCTGCCCGGCAACAGTCGAAAAATAGTCATATCGAGTAAAGCAACACAAAATACAAATAACCTGGGTTTGGAACAGTAACATAATATTGTTAATATTGTGAAAAAAAGTCATCTTTTTCAATGATTACAGTTTTTTTCAGTTGCTAACACACTAAAATGACACGTACAGCACATGGTTAAAACACACCTGTTAGCTATCCTGGTTCCAAAATCCAACATGTAAGCTGCTTAAATGTCGGTTCTCCCAGGTTCCAAATGTTCAAACAATCCGTCATCCACATTTTTGACAGCGTTGGATTCAAAGAGGTGAGCAGAGTGGCGCAGCGGAAGCGTGCTGGGCCCATAACCCAGAGGTCGATGGATCGAAACCATCCTCTGCTAATTGTAAAAGCTTTGGGTCAGTAGGGTCCTTCACAGTGTTTACAAACATTGACCATACCGTTCACCAGTCCCCACCCCACTCTTTGTTTAAAACGAATTGGCCATCGGAATGTGTGTGTCCCAACCCCCCCCTGTGATATCTCTTCACAGGGGGGAGAGAGTTAGACGCTCGTGAATTGTCAACGGGGGGGGGGCCTCTCTGCACGGAGGAGCCGCGGAGAAGTGAATCACAGTGATCTGCTATTTTAAAGTAAATTCAACACATATCGACCCTAAATATAGCATATATTAAGAACGAGAAAGTGTTAACATCGTTTTTTGTAAACATATGACCAATGTGCGAGGGTGATGACATCAGAGCATCGTCCTATGGGCTTAGCCCCGGACAGGTACAACAGGTATTCACTCAGAGGGGGGTAGTTACCCATTTACATGTCAAAAAGCAACATACAGTAGGCGGGTGGGGGATGGTGAACGTTTACATTTCTCTACAGCAGTGGTTCCCAAACTTTTTGTGCCCAAGGCACACCAAAGGACAAGTAAAAATCTCAAGGCACACCTATTGTGCGAAATAGCCCTTATAACACGTGTTATCACTCATATCATGTAAAATATCTGTAAATGTGCATAATTATTTACTAATGCCAAATAAAATGTATAGATAGAACAATCAGTGGTTCAAGTTAGTATATTCCTCAGTGTAACATATCCACTAGTTGCAAAGCTTAAACATTTTTATATATTTTTTTATTTTAAGGGAAAGGATGTTTTCACTACTCAGTTTGTCAACTATGTTACGGACAAACTTGATGTCATTACAATCATTTGATTAAGTCCTGCACTTCAAGTAAAATCAAATTTGAAAGGCTCTTGAGTCTATTCTACCATATATCCAAAGATTTTTTAAAGTTTAAAAAATAATTGTATTAAAGTTTTGTTTTTTCATGTGATATGTTCAGCACTGTCATTAAGTTTAGGGATATTTTGTATTATAAAACTACCATACAGGTCATTTTGATAGTTTTAAGAGATGTCATGTAAAACTCCAACCTGTGTAGATATACATTATACTATAAAGGATATCAGAAGCACTATTTTAGATATTTTAAATTTGAAAAAATGAGGTGCAACATAGTTGACAATGAAAGTCAAACATTTGACGCAAATAACATAGTTGACTGGACACATTATTAACCATCAGCACTATGTTAATTTCAAGGCAGAAGTGCAAAATTCCATTGATAATGATGTGTAATGACGTCTACATGTCGTACAAATTGTCAACTAGGTTACCTGTCAACTAAGTTACTACAGTTATTACAGTACTGGGTAACTCAGTTGACAGGTAACCTAGTTGACAATTTCCCTATTTTGACCCATCATTTCAATGGTAGGCCTTGCCTGGATGACCACATGTCATTTTCTTGAACAGGTTAACATCACATTTGCACATATAATTGAATTAAAATCATTAAACAATTGTAAACCATAACAATGTACGTAACATTGTTGATTGTCAATGAGTATATTAATTGACCATGTGCTATTATACATAAAATATTGTAAAAATGTAGAGGACAATCACCACAGTGTGTTCAAAATGTCTGCCAAAGAGGAACATGGCATCATGTGATGCTGGTGACATGGTATTGGGACAAACCATTTTTGAGTTAAAGGGGGAAGTTCTGTTAGTAACATAGTTGACAGAACTTTTGCGGACATTCATATATTAAGATATTTAAATTATTTAAAGGGGGAAATCAATTAAAAATATGTTATTATTCTTTAGTATTTAGACTTTTGAAATAAATGAATCATTTTTTAAATTTACTTTAATGGTTTTTATTCATTATTTTGAATCCAAGACACCCTCAACTGAAAAACGGACATAGCAAAAACTGACAATTTAAGAACATCATGACACATTTCAAGCTAAATAAAGCATAGGATGCACATAATGTTTGTGTGATATTATAACATGCTTTCCAATAATAGGCAAAATATGATATTTTTGAAGAAAATAGTTAGAATAATTATAATTATCATCAATGGACATCAATGGACATGGAATGTACCCTAAATTGTAGAATCACTCAGCAGTTACATACACCAAACCTTCCAGTTATATTCCTATCAATATTATGAAGGCTTTTACAGAAGGGTTTGGTCATATATAATTCATAGCCTGAATTATATAACATTTTATACCTAAAAACATGGTGAAAATTGATATTTTAGGGCTGTTGACAGTATTTTCTGATTTATGGAGTGATACAAAGAGATATCCAAAATCCCTTCTGTAAAAGCCTTAGATACTAATATGACTACAAAATGAAACAATAATTTTGATCCTGGCTTTATCCAAAGTTCAGATTTCGGTTCCTGAAATGTGTTAAAATATGCGCATATTTCATGAGGTAATGGTTCATTTGGATATTTAAACATGCTATTTCAGAAAACTTGTAATACAAAAAACAATTGCCTTATTGTAAGTAATTAACTGGAGAAATATTTAGCTGATATCTTTAAGTTAAAAATACCCTATTCACCTGGGGTGTCTCGCCTTAATTAGATGTTTGATAAGTGCAGATCACATAGTAAAACACGTACACAGATACATTATTTTGTATTTTTATTAAATTCGACAATGTCAATTTCACTTTCCACTATGTCCACCGTTGTTTTTCACAACCAATGGCAGAACTTTATTGAGGCCTGTAATTAGTCAACTACAGGTCTCTTGAGTCAGTCTTTTTCTTCCAAAAAGCTTGTGACAAGATGTTATTGCTCTTGGGGCATTAAAAACAAGATTTTAACTTTAGTTTTTTATATAATATCTGCATTTTCTATTGTGAAAAACTAAGTCTTAGTTATTTAATATATAGCGCCATCTCCTGGTTAAACCCTGAAATTGGAGAATAGTGGGAGGGCCTAACATTCCTGAATACTGGTCTTTGGCAGGCAACTGGCTGGCAACTGGCTGGCAGTCGGCAGGAAGCTGTATGCTGGGGTCCAAAATAAGAGGCTCCATCTGTAGGTTCCGGCAACTCAATTATGTTTTATAATTTACTTTATTCTCGTGTGGTTCTTAGCAGATTGTTATTTGCATTGGTTACACTTAATATCTGGGCTTTTAATTGTAGGCTCATCTCATCTTTTCATATGCAGAAAAAATCACATTAGTGAGTTTACCCAACTCCTATAATTGCTTGGAACCACTTGACACATATTTTTTAAGTTTTAGCAAAGTAACACATTCTTGAGTAGAGGAAAACTAAAAAAAGTACATTTCACTAACTCAAAAATTGCAAAAGTTGACTAAACTCTTAAAATTGCTTGGAATCGCTTGACACATATTTTTTAAGTTTTAGCAAAGTAACACATTCTTGAGT